AGATCTGTATCAAAAGAGCACCATTAATGTTACACTGACCAGGGATGATTTCTTTCAGGTAAAGTTTCAATTATTTAACATGTGAAATAGGGCTGTCTAAGCCTTCCGTCTTGTAAGCTTTTATTTAGTAACTTGGTTCTGTTATAACAGAAGGAGAAACTTCGCTCTCTATGTTGATGATGCAGTTTTGCTATTGTTATGCTAGAAACGGGCTTAGGAATTAAGAAGTTAGTGTATCAGTTGGCTTGTACGTCACCCAGCTCAACCCCTCACGTTCTCCCTGGGAAGACGGAACCTTTCAGAGCTAAGGAGGAGATGAACCTCAAAGAAAAAGATCTGTCACCACATGGTGCAGCCATTCTTCTTGTCCAGGACAGTCTCTTTCCACAGTTGACTTGAGCTCTCCACTGTGTTTTCTTTAACATGGTACAACCTTAGACTACCTTATGGATGAGGGGATGTGGTGGGACATCTTCACAGGCAGCAAAGGCTGTGAAAGAGTGACTGGCAGAATGGCTAAAATTAACAAGTCAGGAAACAACAGATGTTGGCGAGGATGTGGAGAAAGGGGAACCCTCCTACACTGTTGGTGGCAATGCAAGCTGGTTCAACCACTCTGGAAAACAGCATGGAGGTTCCTCAAAAATTAAAAATAGAGCTACCCTAAAACCCAGCAATTGTACTACTAGGTATTTACCCAAAGGATACAAACATAGTGTGATCTGAAGGGGCACGTGCACCCCAATTTTTATAGCAGCAATGTCCACAATAGCTAAACTTGAAAAGAGCCCAGACGTCCATCGACAGATGAGATGTGGTACATATATACAATGGAATATTACCAAGCCATCAAAAAGAATGAAATCTTGCCATTTGCAATGATGTGGATGGAGCTACAGGGTATTATTCTAAGCAAAATAAGTCAGTCCGAGAAAGACAAATACCATATGATTTCATTCATATGTGGAATTTAAGAAACAAAACAGAGGATCATAAGGGAAGTGAAAAAAAAATAAGCCAAAAACAGAGAGGGAGGCAAACCATAAGAGACTCTTAACTCTAGGGAACAAACTGAGGGTTGCTGGAGGGGAGGTGATGGGGTAACTGGGTGAAGGGCATTAAGGAGGGCACTTGAAGTAATGAGCACTGAGTGTTATATGCAACTGATGAATCACCAAACTCTACCTCTGAAACTAATAATACAGTATATGTTAATTAAATTGAAGTAAAAAATTAAAAAAAAAGTGACTGGGGTAGAGAGAGCCACGGGGGACAAGTTAATAACTTTCTGGCCATTCAGGAATAGGAAGGAGAAGCATGAAAGAGATTCTGAGCTTCAGCATAATCACTAGACTCCTCTGTATCTAGAAGAATTAGAATTTCTACTAGCACAGAACTGTGTGTTTAAAAACACCCAGAAGGGTGATGTGGTCCCTCTATAGCGCACGGCCAGGCACAAGCAATTGAACACTGTTTGGAGAAATGGATTGGTGGAGCGAGCAGGCTTGGTGGCCCGACTCCCGCCAGGAGTTCTCCGTGCCTTCCTGTCAGATATGTGTCATTATGGAGTTTGCTACTCTCAAACTTCTCAGTAAAGCTTTGGGCAAGAACCCAGGAGTGTTGCATGTATTTGCAGGAGTGCTAGGAACAAATAAGAGTACCTAATGAGATTTCATGACTCTAATTATCCAGGAGATGCAACAGGAGGGGATGGGCTGGAGAAGACTTTATCAAACAAGCCTCCAGCTACGGCCCTGACCCAGAGGTCTCACTGAGGGAAGGGCTGGGATGTGAACAAGACAGATCCAAGCTTTGCCCTCGATGGTGAGTGTGCTGCCACACCCTGGCCCGAGCTAGATTAACTCCTTTTTCTCCTTTGCCCTCCATCCTCTGGCCAGAGCAATAGGAATACCAGATTCTTGCGACTTGTAATAAGGAAAGCCCATACACCAGAGAACAGGATTGTCGCCAGTCTCTGCAGTTCAAATATTCACTCACCCTGGCAGGGGTCATAAGCTTAATGAAAGTGACCAGTGTCATCTTGTTTCCTGACTTCAAATCCAGGATCCAGCCAAATCTATGAAATATACCTTATACTTTCTTACCTCTTATCATTTCTTCCATCACGTGGAAGGCCATACTCCATCTCCTCAACCCTCCAACTTCCTTTTTTTGAAATAGTTCTCATTCATTAGTGATTAGCTCAAATATGCCACCTTTTGGATAAAAATTTCCCTGCCAAAATAGCATTTCTTCTGTCCGCAACAACAGTAGCACTCACCTACTAGACCCATTATGGAGCATGTACCTTGCTGATACTGAATATCATTGAGTCCTCAAAATAAGCACATAACCTCGACACTATCTTTAGGCACACTTTACAAGTGAGGGAACCAAAGCACAGAGAGGTTAGGTCACTTTTCCACGGTCACTCAGCTAGGAAGTGGTTCTGATGATTTATTATAAATATGCTACATATTATTATGCTATGAGGAAAGGAAACTAGGTTCTTTAATAAGGCTTTAAAAAATAAGCTGATTAATATATTGGGATTGAAATCTTCTAGGTAATGGATACAGAATTCCTAATTTTCACACCTTTCCTATGTCCAAATTTGGTCAAAAGTATAAGGCTTGAACTTTAATTTCAGGAAGTGGGCATGGCGGAAGTGTGTTGGAGACTGTTCTTTCAGGATCAAATCCAATGACTGTGTCTGAGCCCTGCCCCTCTCACCTGATGCCCATTCCACTCATTCAGGGTCAAACTGGTCGGCACTATAAATTGTCTTTGCACATTACACAGAAGGCGGACCTACCCCACTTACTGTGGATTTACCTGAGCCCCTGGACTTGAATACCACAGTTGGGGATGTGCACATTCTTCTAGAGATAGGTTTCATGATGTCTCCCAGATTCCCCAAGGTGTCTATAAATTACAAATATTAAGAATGGCTGCCACTGTTTGAGAGGCACGGTAGAGGACCTCCATGACTATGCGGGCAGGAGGAACATTTCTGAAAAGATGAGAATCTGTGGTGGGATAGAATATTCTTTGCTGGATACAAATAAAATGATTCCTTTTAGGGAGGATGGGCTTCATGAGAGAGATTGTGCCTATAACGTCGATGGAACCATTGTCCTTACAGTGTTAAAGCGGTTGGGAACTTGAGACACTTGCCCATTCCCAACCCCCCAACCCCAGCACTTGACAGGTTAGGAATCTAAGACTAAGATAAATAGAGTGACTCATCCAAAGCCACAAAGTTCAGGGCTGGGATCAACTAGAGTCCAGTGCTCATTCTCTTTCATGCCCCCTCCCCCCTACTTCACAGAGCGTCCTATTAAAATGTTGGCTTACGGGCAAGGGGCCACACAAAAACCCTACATCCACGCATGGTAGCAATGCTTTGTCATCTGGCTCCAGTGAATTTTATACACTTTCTAACATTTTCTTCTAATACTTTCTCTTATTTCCTTTCTACCACAAATACCTCTGATTGCCACCCTCAGGACACCAGGAGGTAGAAAATGGTGTAAGCAGGAGAATTTACACACTGTGTATCTCATTTGAACATCAAAACAACTGTACAGATGCAAAAAAAAAAAAAGATAATCCTCATTATCCCCATATCAAGACCTTAATTTTAGGATGGTAGATATGGGGACCAAGGTCTTTGGGAGATCCAAAATGCAGGCAACATCCCCCTCCATTAATTGGCCAGATGCATTTATGGTATATTCTGCAGAGCAATTACAGAGACAGATGAATATATTTCCATAACCATCTCTTCTGCCCAATGTATCTGAAAGCATGGAGAAGTTTTGCTCTTGACCGGGAGAAAACTGACGTGCAGAGAGCAGGTGATTTGTCCTTGCCCACATAAAAAGTAAGAATTTCTATTAAAGAGAACTATCACTCTATAGTGTAAAAATGTCTCTCCTAGTAAGGTGTTCATCTTAACAAAACGTTACCATCATGAAACAGCATATGTAATTCATAGATTTTTTTATAGGAGTTTATGTGCAAAGTAATATCTCTGATAGAATTTTCCCCCTTTTTAGAAAATAAAGAACTTTAAGAGCAATGGGAGGGTTTTAATGATTATAAATATAGACTAGGCTTCCTATTGTCTTCAACCAAGAATATGCTCCATTTCCTAGTTGCTTGCCCTCTAAAAAATTCCAGTTCTTAAGAAATCCAAGATACTTTAAGATCTAAAATAATGCTGAGTTTTCAGTCATTAGGAAATTACTTCTTCCCCTTATGAGAATTTTACTCTGGTAAACATCTCTTCTCAGAACTCTTCTTAAAGATCACTGTTCTTAATTAAGCTGAACAAAGAAATTGATGGCAGGTTGCATGCATTTTGCCCTTGGGATACTTGACCATTCTGAAGGAACCCCAGGGCAAATCTTGTGTGAAAAGATTAGAATTGAAGGAAAATTTACAAGTAATCAGTCTAATCTTCTACTCTGGGAAGGACTCTGATTTACAGCACATCTGAGGGAAAACCAAGCTGTATCTACTAGAATACGAACAATGCCAGGGAGCTCACTACCTCACAATGGTTTATACCTTTGTTCAGCAATTGTTATCATTTTATAGTTCTGATTTTGAATAAAAAATCTACCTACTCTTCGGGTTGGCCCACATCTGACTTCTGAAGTGACACAAAGTCTTTTTTTCCTTTATCACATGTCAATTCTGAAGACTTGATTCCTCGCTTCAAGCTTTTGTTCTTCATATAAAACACCCTTAGTTTCTTTCCTTGGTCTTTGTACGCCTGTGGTTGAGATCCATCAATATCATCCTTCCCGAAGAAAGTCATTCTCCCCTCAATCTATTATAATTTACTAATCTCCTTTTTAAAAGGGGGCACCTCAACCTTTATGCATCTTTGGTAACTTCCCAAAATTGTTGCTGCTGAGAAATGCCCTTGCTTTATAACTAGTCACTGTGTTTTTTTTCAGTGACATTAGGTCTGTTCTCTGAGGACCTACCTTTGCCAAGGTCTCATCATCCAGGTGATTCTTCTGAATCACATGTTGAAGTGCAAAATAAATTTTTTCCTGAAGCTTCTGGACCTTCCTTGGTTCTATCAGCCAGGCTCGGTCTGACAAAGGAAAAGAATTAGGTAAGAAGAGTAGGAGGGTAAGCTTTCACCTGCATATATACGTGCTGAGTTTCAGACCCATTTCAATCACTTAGTTTTAGTTTGCTTCTGAAGACATATAGTTATTTACATAAAACACAAATATTTTATAAGAAATACCTGGATGACAGTAATGCTGGATATACACTGACACCAGGAAAGGAGGATGGAGGGAAGGGCTCAATGGTTCTAATAAACATGGTGTGTTTCATATTATCTGTGACAAGTTACACCTCTCTTTTTTTGGACATATATTTAGATTCTTTCAAAGTAGAAGTTAATGACTTGTGAAGAAAATGAATTACAGAAGAAAATCTATTGCACAGGAATATTTTTGGTATTCAGGATCCCCCTTCCCATAAGCTAAGCTATAATGCAAAGCATAAACATGAATCAATTTCAAAAATTTAATACTGTGTGCTCTTTTTGTACATGGAATTTTTAAGTGGTGGGTAGGATAATCCCTCCTTTCCTTTCTCCGGTCCTATATTCTTTTTTCCTTCCTGTATCCCTCTCTTCACCACCCCCTTCCTTCCTTTCTTCCTAGAAGCTTTATACACTATGGTGATAAAATGCAGCCCAGCATCAATGCCTCGGGTTGGCGCTTCCATGAAGAGACATCTAGAGTCTCCAAATGCTGAACAAATGCTCATGGAAAAGAACTTGGAAATGGTCCATCTGAACACAGTTCAGGTCAGGTGAGAAACTCAATTCTGTAATCCTAGACAGGGCAAGGACAAGTCTAGCCACCAGTTAAGCAAAACCCTTATGTAAGTGAGCACAAAAGCCTTCAGTGACAATGGTCAATCAGAATAAATTAGGTTTCCCTCCCTCTCCGTTCCCTAAACTATCTGGAGCTGAACAGACAGTGGCTTTTATGACAAGAACTGGGGGAGGGTGGGGTCTGGCATGAAGAGAGCCAGCAGAGGCTGGACATCTGTCTTTCCTCTCTTTTTTGAATATGGCACTAGGCCAGGGTGGCAAATGAGGTATTTGGAGCTGCAGAAGCCCCTGAGTGTGGGTCTGCTACCAGGGCTGGAAGATTCGCTGCTAGGTAGACTAAGCCAAATGTCATGCTTCCAAACTCAGCACAATTTGATGGCTATAGTACGTTCTTTTCAGAAAAAGCCTCACAGTTCAGCTGATTTCTGATCCATAAACAACAGGCTTACCTTAAGTCTGGGGCAGTTATCTTCATGGATTGTTTAGGTTAAATATGCCATGTCTTAAGTATTTGCTTCTAGGAATTTACTGACTTAAACATAGACATACCTAACAAGGACAGTACACTTTGCAACACTTCCCTTGAGCAAGCAGGAACCAGAGTGGAACCGCTTCCCTCATCACAGACCCACAGGCTTAGAACGAGTCTTCTATTTAACTATTTTCCATGAAAAGAGTCAAATGCAATGAGAAAATGGTGGGAGGAAAAGTATTTGGCATGCGGTTGCTATCAGAAATAACTATTTCTTGTCACTTCTCCCATTTATCTTTGTGCTTCCAGGCCTGGGAAATTTTGTAGGGTTCAAAACAAAACAAAAAACAAAAAAGGCTTAGGGGAACCTCTTCGACCTCAGCCGCAGCAACTTCTTCCTAGACACATCACCAAAGGCACGGGAAGCCAGGGCAAAAATGAACTATTGGGATTTCATCACGATAAAAAGCTTTTGCACAGCAAAAGAAACAGTCCACAAAACCAAAAGACAACCGACAGAATGGGAGAAAATATTTGCAAATGACATATCAGATAAAGGGCTAGTATCCAAAATCTATAAAGAACTTATCAAACTTAACACCCGAAGAACAAATAATCCAATCAAGAAATGGGCAGAAGACATGAACAGACATTTTTCCAAAGAAGACATCCAAATGGCCAACAGGCACATGAAAAAGTGCTCAACATCGCTCAGCATCAGGGAAATCCAAATCAAAACCTCCATGAGATACCACCTCACACCAGTCAGAACGGCTAAAATTAACAAGTCAGGGAACGACAGATGTTGGCGGGGATGTGGAGAAAGGGGAACCCTCCTACACTGTTGGTGGGAATGCAAGCTGGTGCAACCCCTCTGGAAAACAGTATGGAGGTTCCTCAAACAGTTGAAATTAGAGCTACCATTCGATCCAGCAATTGCACTACTGGGTATTTACCCCAAAGATACAAATGTAGGGACCCGAAGGGGTACGTGCACCCCAATGTTTATAGCAGCAATGTCCACAATAGCCAAACTATGGAAAGAGCCAAGATGTCCATCGACAGATGAATGGATAAAGAAGAGGTGGTATATATACACAATGGAATATTATGCAGCCATCAAAAGGAATGAGATCTTGCCATTTGCAGCGACGTGGATGGAACTGGAGGGTATTATGCGGAGCGAAATAAGTCAATCAGAGAAAGACATGTATCATATGACCTCGCTGATATGAGGAATTCTTAATCTCAGGAACAAACTGAGTGTTGCTGGAGTGGTTGGGGGTGGGAGGGATGGGGTGGCTGGGTGACAGACATTGGGGAGGGTATGTGCTGCGGTGAGCGCTGTGGGTTGTGCAAGACTGTTGAATCGCAGATCTGTACTTCTGAAACAAATAACGCAACATACTTTAAGAAAAAAGAAAAAGAAGAAGATAGCAGGAGAGGAAGAATGAAGGGGAGTAAGTCAGAGGGGGAGACGAACCATGAGAGATGATGGACTCTGAAGGGCAGACTGAGGGTTCTAGAGGGGAGGAGGGTGGGGGAATGGGTTTGCCTGGTTATGGGTATTAAAGAGGGCACATTCTGCATGGAGCACTGGGTGTTGTGGACAAACAATGAATCATGGAACACTACATCAAAAACAAATGATGTAATATATGGTGATTAACATAACAATAAAAAATTAAAAAAAAAAGGCTTAGAGGAACAACTTGATTGTAGACAGAGCCACAGAAGAAACTGTTAGTAATAGCATACCAAGTGATAATTTCCATTTTTGATAACGTGATAAATAAAAAACAGAAGGAAATTTGAAAATCTTCATAAAATTTAAAAATAAACTTACAATGAAGCCTCACTGATAAAGAGTGTAGAGGCTGAGGGGCCCCTGGGCGGCTCAGTTGGTTAAGCGTCCGACTCTTGATTTCAGCTCAGGTCATGATCTCAGAGTCTTGAGATCAAACCCCATGTCAGGCCCTGTGCCCAGCATGGAGCCTGCTTAAGATTCTCTCTCTCCCTCTGCTCCTCCCCTTACCCCCTGCTCACTCTCTCTCAAATAAAATAAAATAAAATTAAAATTAAAGTGTAGAGACTGGTATTATTGGTAGACACAGCTGCAATGACATGTCAATGTGTGCAATCACAGGTAAGATTAATTTCTTCCAGCCCCACTGAAAACTGTGTTAGGATATAAGAAGAGCTCTCTTCTCTAAGATGAATTTTATAGAAAGAATGAGTCTCTTGGCCATAAAAATTATTAGGAATGTGTTCCAAGAGACAACTGTAAATGACACTGGTAATCCCTTCACCCACAATCTAACCAAGCAGACAGCTGAGTGACTCTTGAGTTCTCATTCTGGTTGAAGAAGGAGCCAAGTACTTATTAAGATTCTAGACATTTTCGAGCTGCCATATATATATATATATATATATATATTTAAAGATTTTATTTATTTATTTGACAGAGAGAGACACAGCGAGAGAGGGAACACAAGCAGGGGGAGTGGGAGAGGGAGAAGCAGGCTTCCCGCTGAGCAGGGAGCCTGATGTGGGGCTTGATCCCAGGACCCTGGGATCATGACCTGAGCCGAAGGCAGACGCTTAACGACTGAGCCACCCAGGCGCCCAAGCTGCCATATATTTTAAATAGCACTTCAATTGCTATGGTTCTATTTGATCTATAAACATCACACCTTACTTTCTTTGAAAATTTTGATATTTTATTACATTTCAGAGCTAGACATGATCTTTATTCTTTTGTTTAAGATTTATTTATTTTAGAGAGAGAGAGAGAGAGAGAGCACGGGGCAGGGAGGGGCAGAGGGAGAGAATCGTAAGCAGACGCTGAGCTGAGCGCAGAGCCTGACATGGGGCTCAGTCTCAGGACCTGGAGATCATGACCTGAACCGAGATCAAGAGTCGGATGCTTACCCAACTGAGCCACCCAGGCTCCCCATGATCTTTAATGAAGTCCAAACCTATTACTTTATAGATGAGGAGACTAAAGCTCGGGGGGGGGGGGTGGGCAAGCGTTTAAAGTCACAGAGATAAATGATGACAGATCCCCGGATGGGAATGTCAGCTGCTATATCAGAGAGTCTTCCTTTGCAGTCTTTAGTTGGAGTCAGTTTTCCCTTTGCTGTCCTCACCTCTTTCAAAGCCCCCAATATTGCTAATTTTGGTGGGAAAGCCAACAAAAGAGGTATTTAAAGAGGAGAGGGTGTACATGTTATTTCCTTTTGTCCTCACACTGGATCTTTCATTTAAATCTATTTCTACTAAGTCTCACACCTTACTGGACATTTGTTTTTGATGTCCTTTATTCTTAAAACTGAAATAGGACTTTGCTATAACTCAGGCTGCCATCCATCCTCATTAATCTGTTAAGGAATACTTTTGCTTATCTGAATCTGGAGTGAAACTTACCACACACCCTTCTCTTGCTTGTGGGGCAAAATGGCTCATATTTTAATTAATTTAAGGCTACTTTCCTTTGAATTGTCCAAAAATAGCACAAGCTTGCTAAAGAAAATTTAAATTTCTCCTTAGTACATAGGCTTGGGTAGGTGTAATCCATGTTAAAGATAGAAAAACATTTTTTTTTTTTTTTTTAAGACAGGACCTCAGACTTCCTTACCTGGAGATATCAGAACAGCGGATGAGAATAAAGCAATCTCTTCTTCAGTCAGCTGCAAGGAACATAAATTCTTTGCAAAGTCAAATGCTTCATTCACCAGGTCATCAGAACCTATAAAAGAAGGCAAATTAAATGAGAATACTTGAATGGAATGGGGCAATAGTAAGAAAAGCCCCATAATCCAAAGGGTATTCAGGGATTTAAACACTAGGCAAAAATATTTCCAAGTTCCTAATAATTACAGAATGAGGAAATTGGGCAACAATCTCGATCAAGTACTGAAAGTTAACATTACCAATGAGGGGCCAATGGGAATGGTGTGTGCCCACCCTAATATTCAACTGGGAATATATATACTAAATCTAATCTTGTAAGTTTGAAATTAGTTCCAACTAAAAAAAAATTAAATAAGTGATCTGGGGATCCTTCAGTAGAGAGAGAGCATTCAGAGAAAACTGAAAACATGGTGCATAAGGGGCTAAGGGCTATCAGTCTTAGTGGCCCTGGAACCTGGCAGCATAGAATGCCCAGAGGCCTCAAACTGAGATTTTCTTTTTTTTTTTTTTAAAGATTTTATTTATTTGAGAGAGCGAGAATGAGAGAGAGAGAGAGAGAGCACATGAGGGGGGAGGGTCAGAGGGAGAAGCAGACTCCCTGCTTAGCAGGGAGCCCGATGTGGGACTCGATCCTGGGACTCCAGGATCATGACCTGAGCCGAAGGCAGTGGCTTAACCAACTGAGCCACCCAGGCGCCCTCAAACTGAGATTTTCAAAGCTTCTTATAGAACGAAGCGGAGGTAGCTTTCAAGTTGGTAACTTCCCTGAAAATCTTACGGAGGGGCAGGCATTCATTTATTTTTACCTTCTCCTGGATGCCTTGTAGGTCAGTTGCTTAGCAATGGTGAATTTTGGCAAAAGAATGCTTCATCCCTACACACTGATCCTCGGTAAATGTTTATTTTATGAGGCTGGAAATATACCCAAGTTGCTTGCCAAGGCTTTTCCTCCTTTCTTGAAAATCGAGCCTTGTAGACGACATGGATGTGTATCAACTGCAGGAGGGAAACAGTACCAGCCGGACGGACTTGCTTGTTGGCCGCTGTATCAACTGACAGCACAAAAGGTGAAAGGGCACTGGGCTTCTGTGGTGTCCGGGGGCCAGGGATGGAGCAAATGGCACTGCCAGTCGTTAAACCTTTCCTGGCATTGGCCCATCTATGCTACCATTCTTATCTGCACCGTGTACTGATGCCTGGATGTGAATGATACCCAACACTTCCAAAGACTGACTCTGTGTGTGCCCACCCACAGGAATGGTCCGGGGGTCCTTTGGGGGCAGGCTGGCACCCACTCTCCCTGTGCTCCCAGAACTTCATCAATTAACAGGAAGAAAGTCACCGCCGTGGGTGAGAAGCAAGTGAAGGAGCTCTTCTTTTCATTAAATATCTTAACTAATGATTATACATTTACAGAAGACCCTTGAGAGATCACCCATGGACCACCCCTGGTCTATGAGGCAGCGAGCTAGAAGGAAAATAAAAGCTGATCTTACAAAGAATAATCTAGAATGTATCTCAGTTCTTTCAGAACCGGTCTTCATTGATTTCTGAATGAGGTGTGGTCAATCTCAACGGGGTCTGTGGTTCTCCCCTGCCTTTCATACTAGGATGCACAACTGTAAGATCTGAAGGGTTAGATAAAACACTAGAGGCTCACCTAGTCCAGCCCTTACCACATGAGATGCTAGTTCACATTCAAGAATCATAGCATTTCATTTACCAACTTCGATCTGAGTGGAGAAACTGATGGCAGCTAAGAAAATTGTGTCACCATCAAAGGTCAACTCACCTAAGGCCTTGAACATCTGCATTCCTCCATATTTTCCTTCAAACAGGACAGTGTTGTTTAATGGGTTGAAGGCACGGCACATTCTCACTAAAACCACTTCCAAGCAACCTATGAATAAAAAAATAAAATATGTATATACATGAGATAATAAAGAAGTTATTAGGTAAAGGCCACGAGACTTCAAAAAAGAAAAAAAAAAACCTTGAAAACACACACACACGCAGACACACAGATGCACCCATTCAGAAATACCTCAAGATTCCTTCCCATGTAAAAAATAAAGCTCTCTTCATGCTTGTGTGAGGAATTAAAGATAACATAGACTGTAAAGGTGGCTAAAATGGAGGGCAGCAACTACCTGTTTTTTGGGAAGCATACATATTTTTCTTTTTTTGACTAATATTAAAGGTAGTTACAACTCATGAATTCACAAGGAGCTCAGAAGCACGCAAGTCCAGCTTGTTCACTTTTGTAGAAGTTTTGCTATCGGCCACATGTGCTCCCTGCCTCGGTTTCTACCATAGTCCTTGCATATTTCAGCACAGGATGACTTTACATAGGGACTCCTTCAGGGTGTTTCTGGAGGGCACCACTGACCTCTGATGTCTTTGAAATGAAGTTTTCTTAGTCAAATGAGTTTTGGCAAAATGCTGAATATGATCTCACTTCGGAGAGTTATAATCAACATTCACAGGTCAAAGGCTTGGGGAAGCCTCAACATGAGGGAACTTGTTCAACCTTGATGCTAGCTAGCATTTCTCTGACTTCCCTGTTAGCACAGAGAGGGCAGGACCTTTGTCCGCAAACATACGTAGCTGTGGCTACTTTATTCACTATTATATCTCCAGGACCTAGAAAAGTTCCTGGCACCTAGTAGGTGCTTACTAGATATCTATTTTATTTTTATTATTTTTAAAAATGATTTATTTATTTGAGAGGAAGAGAGGGCGTGAGTGGGAGGAGAGGCAGAGGGAGAGAGAATCTCCAGGAGACTCCCTGCTGAGTGTGGAGCCCTACACGCTGCTCCATCTCATGACCCATGAGACCGTGACCTGAGCTGAAACCAAGAGTCAGAGACTTACCTGACTGAGCCACCCAGGCACCCCGAAATATTTACTGAATTAGTTTGCTGCCTTTGTTTTGCCCTCTGAACATTTACTGACGTTCTGAGGAACTACCATACAGGTGATTTGGCTACACCATGGTGTTTGCTAGGGTATCCGTGGTGCCTTTCTTATGTTGCCACTTAATATTTAGGTCTGTGTCTTATTTTCTTTGATCTGCTGATTTCTCTTTGCTTTCCCTCCTATGTCACCTAGCACAGGGGCTCCCATATAGAAGGGGATTTGTACATCTTAATTAAAACAGTGCTTTTCTGACAAAAACAATAACAGGTACCATTTATTGAGTATTTATAAGGTGGAAGGCACTTTCCTTGGCCCCTTACATTATTTTATTTGCTCCTCACAATACCATTTCACGTGAGTTTTAATTGCCCCCCCCCTTTTTTTACGGGTGAGTTACGGGAGGCTTAAGGAGGTTAAGTACCCTGCCCTTCATACTAGAGTCAACATTTTTACAGCAGGCAGAGATGTCAGAAGAGTATATGGCACAGTGGTTCTCCAGTGGCAATGTATGGACTGGTTGTATCTGAGACTTAGAAATACAGTGACCTGGGTTCCCTTCTAGAAGATTCCGATCCATGGGCTTCGGATGATGCCTATGATTCAGAACAGTCAGTAAGCTCCTCCGATGCTGCCAATGCAATTGTAAGTTTGGAATCCATCATTTCTACTCCTTCACTTTATTTTGCAAATGAGGGAACTGCCATCTAGAGAGGTGAGCTCAAGGGCACATATCAAATATGGCAGATTTTTTTTTTTTTTCCCCAGAGAGAGTCACAAAAGTATCTTCCAGGGCACCTGGGTGGCTCAGATGGTTAAGCATCTGCCTTCGGCTCAGGTCATGATCCCAGGGTCCTGGGATCGAGTCCTGCATCGGGCTCCCTGCTCCTTGGGAGCCTGCTTCTCTCTCCCTCTGTCTCTCATGAATAAATAAATAAAATATTTAAAAAAAGAATTAAAAAAAAAGTATCTTTCATCCCACATGCTTTTCGAGAGCCTTACCACTCCCTCATCAAGGAGGAGGATCTAGGGGCGCCTGGGTGGCTCAGTCGGTTAAGCGACTGCCTTCGGCTCAGGTCATGGTCCTAGAGTTCCAGGATCAAGTCCCGTATTGGGCTCCCTGCTCAGCGGGGAGTCTGCTTCTCCCTCTGACCCTCTTTCCTCTTGTGCTCTCTATCTCTCATTCTCTCTCTCTCAAATAAATAAAATCTTTGGAAAAAAAAAGGGGGGGGAGGAGGATCCACATCTCCTACCCTCGAGTCCAGGTGCGCCATCATGCTGCCTTGACTAATAGGGAGGCGTAGAAACAACACAGCTAAGCCAGGAGAATGCTCTGCACTCTGGCCTTGTTCTCTTGGAGTGCTAGCTTTTGAAACCTAGCAAGCATGCTATGAGAGGCTGTGGAGAGGCTGACATGCATGGATAGGAGCTGGGCTGCTGCCCAGACCCTTGGCTGAACTCGGGACTCAACCAGCACACACTGCCAGCCATGTGAGGGGATCCTGCTGTCCTCAGTCAAGTCATCTCAGTGATCCCCACGTGGAGCAAAAGACAAGCCATCGCTTGCTGAGCCCCACTCACAGTGCAGTTTTGGGAGCAAAGTCCGTGATGACTGTCGTTAGAACGAGGCTTCAGGGTCATTTGCACCCAGCAATAGATAACTGATAGACCAAGTTCATGTTCAAGTCAAGGTTTGTTTCATCTTTAATCATGTGGTAAAGCAGCACAGCAACTTCTAACTATTCTACCTGGCCCAAGTTCAAATGGCAGCTTTGCCACATACTGGCTTTGTGATACTGAATTCAGCCCTTCACTTCTCTGAATCTTCCAGTCCTCCCATAAGATGGAAACAATAACAATGTCCCCAGACTCCATGAGATGGCATGAGTAAACATGAACATATATAAAGTATGTTATGACACACACAAGTCTATATACCATGGCCCAGGTCCATGAAGGTTAACACACACCGTGATGGTTCTTATTTTCTATTTTCAAAGGCGGGTGGGGGTCAAGAAAGAAAATTTGTTTCCTGTTTGGGTAATAGCATCTGCAAAGTCACTCACGCACAGACTTTCCTAAGTGACTGTGTGTGAGTCAGAGAGCATGTGTGAGAGAAGGGGAGGGGAAGATTAGCGCTCAGGGAGTTTCTCCGGGTATATACTGGCTGCAGGCTATCCTCATTAAAATGATGGGAAATGACCACAGAGGCAGCGTGCTGCTAGCCTGGATTCCCCCGCCCCCACCCCAGAAGGCAAGTAGCGCGTTTTAGAGCCAGCTCAGCATTTCAGCCACCTTGACACGCTAATTACTTGCACTGCCTGTCAGGCTAGGTATCTGAACCTCCGCAATTAATAGCTCTACTTTCAATAAGCAAAATTGTATTTGACTTCAAAGGGGAACTGAATGAGTATCAGGGCATTTTTATTACCGAGAGTTGCCTCTGGGAGTTGGCTGACAGTGTGGGTGGTAAAAATGAACTACATATTGGAAGGACGATTTTCCAGAACGAACACTGAGTGAAGGGTTGACCACACCCCGGTCTCCAACAGGCCCCCCATGAATCCTCTGCTTGCTTACCTGACTTCAGAAGGAGAATTTGATCATTCTGACAGAGCTCCATGAAGCCCGTTATCCGCTTGGCGAACTCTACCACATACTGGATAGCGTGCGTGATCTGGATGGCGCATTGCTGCCACAGCGCTTCCCTGGACTTCAGGAGAGAAGACACAGAATGTACATGGAGCAAAGAACAACGTGCAGAGTCCATGAAATAGGGTTTCCCTACTGGTGCTTACCCAAGGCCGGAATGTACCCAGTTCCTTTAAAAGAGGTGGACAATATTTCCTAACGTACTCTTCAGACCTGTTCGAACCTTGATACACCACAATTGTCAATGTACTGAGACTAAAACAAGGGAAGCATTGAAATAATATGTAAAGATAGAAGTTTATAGTTTCTTTGCTCTTTCCCTTCCTCTTCCCCTAAACAAACTCAAGCTCTTAGTCCATTTTTGGGAAAACAAACTCTCGCACTGAGGAGCAGTAATTTCGTTCCCAGGCTTTGATCTGGTCATGTTCGTGGGCACCTAAATGAACACTAAACTTGTAAGATTTTTACATTGTGTTCTTTTTCCAGAACTTACGGAGAGTGCTGTTTGGTATAAAAAGAATTGCACGGGGAAAGACCTCAAATCAAATCACTCTCTTAAGTAATTTAGAAGCTCTGAAATGTATTTTGATCCTTGCATTATTTTCCTTGGAACGGGAAACGTAAATCCAAGTGTATGGATTCTGCTTTTTATTGATCCTAACAATAGCTGTGCTTTTGTCTCCTTATTTATATAAGAGGGGTAAGATTTAATTGTTCCAGGGGAGAAAAATCAATGTCATAATCATACATTTATTCATTTACATATTTTTTTTAGATTTTATTTTTAAATAATCTCTAGACCCGACGTGGGACTCAAACTCACGATCCCGAGATCAAGCTCATGATCCTGAGATCAAGCATGCTCTACTGAATGACCAAGCCAGGAGACCTGCATATGTTAAGATATAGACACATTTATGTATTTTATTTAAAATTTCATTTACTGGTAGATCTTGTAATTGTGGCTCTCAATCCCAAAGGATAGTAATGTGACTATATAACAATAGCAAATTCCTTCTCTCAAAAACTTCTCAAATGGATACAAAGTAACAATAATAATAGTAATAATAAATAATAATAATATGAGGTGAGTTATCCTGTTTTTCTTTGGCGTTTAGGGCAAGAAAAAACATTTAGGATGCGTTATTGCATATCTTTGTAGTGTAAATTTGCAACTATTATTATTGCTACAATTTCTCTATTGTTTCTCTTCCTTGCCTGGCCCCTGGAAGCCATCATGAGAGGTCGTAAAGTCATCTGATGTGGGCACAGTCTCCCTGGTCCCTCAAATAGGGCAGTGTTTTTTAACTGGGGCAGTTTTGCCTCCCAGGGAACATTTGGCAATATCTGGAGACATCTGATCGTCACAACTGTGTGACGGGATTGCTAGTGGCATCTGGTGGGTAGAGACCAGGGATGATGTGCAGGACAGTCCCTACACAAAGAATTATCCAACCCCAATGTCAGTAATGCTGAGGTTTGAGAAAGCCAGAAATAGAGAAATCCCAGGAAAAATGGTCTCTTATTTTCTCAGAGTACCTTGCTTTGATACGCTTTAATTTCTTCATAGGTGTGGGTCTGCCACGCCAGCTGGTGTAGCTCCTCCATGGTGTACTGACATGTCTCCAGATGGGACTTAATGATGTTCTGTGCAATTCGATCTGTGAGAAGGAATATCAGTTTGAGGGTTTATGAATAAATTCCCGCTCTGCGAAGAAACTAGCTGTTAATGTTTACTACAGGAATCCCTTTGGAGACACTCTGATTGTATTAATGTCTAACACTACTATCCACCTATGTATCTCCTAACTATTGTCTTTTTTTCAATTTTCAGGTTTTTCTTTTTTTAAGATTTTATTTATTTGAGACAGAGAGAGAGAGAGAGAGCAGCTCACAGTGGGGGGAAGGGCAGAGGGAGCAGCAGACTCCCCACTGAGCAGGGAGCCAGATGTGGGACTTGATCCCAGGACCCTGAGATCATGACCTGAGCTTAAGGCAGATGCTTAACTGACTGAGCCACCCAGGCGCCCCTCAATTTCCAGTCTTTTAATCAAAATTTGCTGCCTTTTTCTCCCCCTTTTGGTCACAAACCTGGGGCTTTACAAGTTGTAAAATGTACAAATAGTTATTTTTAAAATAAATACAAATGACTATATTTCCTGCTTCTTGGCCTAGGAGACCACTAACACTCTTGACATTTGTACTCCAAAGACTTTAAAATATTTTGAAAATCACTGGACTCCCATTGTTTATGTTAGAATGGGGGAATTTAAATATAACTCTATTGGCTTCTATTTTTAAAGAGAGGATAAAACAATAATCTAAACAGATAAGTTCTCTACAGAGGAAAGAGAAGAGAGAAGGACAAGGTAGAAGCTAGGTGCGCTGATGTTATTTTTGTAGATTTGACTTTGGAACCATATAAATATCTTACATGATAAATAACGGGAGAGGGAATATAAATGAGACAGTATTGACTCATGAGGTGATAATTATTGAAGTTGGGTCACAGTGACCATTATATTCTCCTTTCTAATTTTTTATAAGATGAAATTTCTCTTTAAAAAGGTTAAAATGAGAAAATGATTACATTCATAAAACAGTAGGAACAAAATCAGTCTTTTGGGGCCATTCATCTCAAATGAATGGTATTGGATATTGTATCTTAAATACTGAACATTCTGGGTTTGGAGGTATGGAAGTTGAACAATAGAACCAGACATAACAGATCTCCTTCAAAACCCACAACGAGTCCCCTGAAGTTAGAGTAGGTAGGAGGTTCCCTCAAAATCCCCTCAGCCATTTGAACACGTGAATAGTGTGAGATCTTGGGAACCAAGGTACACAGGGATTCTGTACGGGTGGGATGAGAAGAAGGAAGATGGCCAAACCTTTTTTCTGCCTAATAACTGTTCTTGGCTCATACAGAAATAGAATTTTTCTAATGTTTCCGGTTATGCAATTTCAGATGCAATTTCTGTTCTAAATAGCCATATTTCATTCCTACAGGATAACACCCAAAGTGGTGTCGAGGTACCTTCTTTTTACCTCGCTAAACTTCTGGTATATGTGGCGTGAAATATATATATATATATATATATATTTTTTTTTTTAAGATTTTATTTATTTGACAGAGAGAGAGAGAGATAGCGAGAGCAGGAACACAAGCAGGAGGAATGGGAGAGGGAGAAGCAGGCCTCCTGCCGAGCAGGGAGCTCAATGTGGGGCTCGATCCCAGGACCCTGGGATCATGACCTGAGCCGAAGGCAGACGCTTAAGGACTGAGCCACCCAGGCGCCCCTGTGGCGTGAAGTATGTTGAGGTTTGGTGCTGTAGAGAATAAAAACATGTAAGTTTGTGCCTCCAATGAGGTTGATGAATAAAAAATCTTGTATAGCTCATTGCCTAGTATATTATAAACACTGAAGAAATGCTAGCCACAGTGATCACTCTATAGAATTTGTCATCAGGGAAGTAATGTGATGTCTCCAACGGACACAAAACAGGGATATTTAATTTTGCAACCAGTGCTACTGAAGGAAGATGTTTCAATATTTATTAGAGTTTTTCAATCAGAACCATTAAGTGCTAGATGTAGAAGATGCTACAAAATGCTAAATTATGATTATAGTTACGCTCTATTGGATTCAGCATTGAGCTGAATTTCTAGACTCTCATTGCTTATCAAATTCTAAAATCCTTTCTTTAAAAAATCCTATACTCAAAATTTTATTGAATATCCTATGTTGTAAAAAAAAAAGGGCAGGAATTACTTTATACATCATATTAAAATAGATTGGTATGTCATGGTTCATCATTTTTCAATTTCACTTGGGCAGTCTAATTACTTAGAATCTAAAAAAAAGTATCTCTTCCTCAGTAAGTATATAATGAAAACATAAGATTTCTATGGCTTCCTAGTTTTTAAACCTTTATCTTCTTGGTATAGTCTGTTTTCATCTTCAAAGATATGCTGATTTGTCAGTAAGTTACAGGCTTTGGGGTTTACAAGCAAAACTAGAAGTGCCACTCAAAACTGCATTATGAAAAACGCTTCATCTGTCCCTTTATGCCATCTCCTGGGAACTCCTGGCCAAGGTTTAAAAAATCTCTAGCCTTCTGCCACCAAAGCTTGGGGTCCTACAGGGCATAAGGAGAGGTGGGCATAATAAATACACAGACAGGTGAAGCAAAATTGGAAGTAAAATCCACACGCATGCTTTAGGACTCAGCTCAGAGGTCCACTCCCTGCGGAGTTTTCCCTACTTCTCTGTGACCTCAGGTAGAAGGGTCGGCCACTGTTACACTCCAGTCTACATCCGACTGAGCCCTTATTCCGCTCAGACTTGCATTGTGCTTATTTGTGGGGATCCGTTTGTTCCATACCCTTCAAGGTTGTGTGTGTGCTTTTCAAGAACTGGACTGCAGAGCCAGCATAGTGCCTTCGTATACTCATTCAACAAAAGCTATTATATGCCAGGTTAAGGTAGAGATTTTTTTTGAAAAGGACATTGTCTTTTTTCAAAGGGTCTTACAGTCTCATATATCATATCAGATACCATGTCATGACATACTAAATGCCCTTGAGTTATTGTGGGAGCCCCAAAGATGAATGTATCTAACTCAGTCTGGGGGAAGCAGAAAAATGACCATAGAGAAGGAGCCTGTTGGTCTGGGTCTGAGCAGGGGTTTGTCACGTGAAGAAGAGAAAGGCACACCTCAGGTAGAGGGAATGATCTTACAAAGGCACACACGGACAGCTGTTAGGAGCTAGGTAATTTCTGCTCTTTATAAGCCCTACATTTTACAACCAATTTCCCTTTTACTGAGGGAAAGAGTGACTCTAGAGCCATTTTTATAGAGCCAGCAAATGGCGATTTGAAATCAGGTCTGTCCTTGCTGGCAAGAACTCTGTCGTGCTGGCAGCATAGAGTGCGTAGAGAAATGGAAGAAACGAGACCGGGGATGGAAACTGGCACCAGAGACCCAACAGCTGAGTGAGCCAGGCCGAGGAATATGGATTTTTTATCGTTAGGCAGCTGGTGGAAGCTGTGGAGCAGGAATGACCCAGTCGGGTTTTTGTTTTTCAAAGGTGACCTTAGCCAGGGCAAAGAAGATGAAGAGGCATGAGGGAGTATGTGAGATTAATCAGGCTGTAGCGCGAAGAAGTCAAGCAAGATATGAGGCGGCTCTGGATTCAAGACAGTTCTGAAGTGGGATGCCCAGGACCAGTGTGTGTGGCAGTGAGAGATGGAGAGCATTAAATATGGAAGGTGCTCAACCAATGTTGAGTTAGTAAAGGTAATACTGAAAATGTCCGTCCGTCCATCCATCCATCCATCCATCCACCCACCCACCTGTTCTATTTTCTGCTGTATTTCACAAAGGATTTTAGAAAGCTTATACTGTCCTGTGTTAGATGATCTTAAAGCCTAAGCACCCGCCAATGGCTTTGAGGTCAAGCATGGAACGCGCACTATTATTTCCCACACCCTTGTGGTGAGAAATAAAAGGTAAACCTCTGTTTGACATAAGAGTTATGAATATCAACGAGGGCGAAGCAGCTGCAGAGCGGCCCTTCTCCACATTCTCCCGCGAGTCTGCCATGCAAAGGCGAGCTGCGGGTCAATAAACCACAGGGTAAAGCTAGACTCAGGCCCCTGGGAGCAGTGCTTGAGGGCTCATTCTGTCCATTAGAAAGATGCACGGCCATCAGAGGAGATGGTCAGCCTGCACTGAGAGTCTGTGGTTGTGAAAAGGGAAGAAGGATTTAAGAAGGGACAAAGGGAGCAACAAAGAATGCCGTATGCCAAGTTCCTGCTAGGAGCCAAAGGAACTTTCAAGAGTCCTTGCCTGGGAAAATAGAAAAGGTAATAGTACACTCAGTCCTCTTCAGGGACCGACGGCATGAGAAGTCCAGACAAAGAGACTGAGGTAAAAGAGCAGAGGATATGGAATCTTTCTGGGCAATCGCACACCCTTCATCCGTTTCCCGGACTTGGATTGCGCTTGCTGGTCAGAGCCTAGTTTTCATCGGATTCTTTAGCCAGCTTCGGCTGCGGATGGCACACGTCCAAGCAGGAGCCCACCGCACTGTGCTGGGACGAGGGCTTCGACGGGACTATGGCCCAGATGGCTGACAAAGGGGAAGGTCTCCCGCCTTCAGGGGCAATGTCCATGAACCCTGCCCTGTTCTTCCTGAGAGCAGGGATGAGGCTAGAAGTTTCTTAAGTGGCTATAAAGACGGGGCTCCATTGTCTCAGGAGTTAAGACTCGGTATATGTTCAGTGAGACAGAGGTTTGTCCAATTCACTAAGAGTACAGGGGCTGCTTTGATAGCTAGTAAAATGATGTCAAGGAATGAGAAAAACAATCTTATATGCTCTGTCTGGTCGTTTCTTTTCAATCACAATAAGGTAAAATACAAACACTGGTGCTGTGAAGAAAAACTGGGTGTGCAATTACAGGTTAATGTCAAGTCCATGAGCCTTATTTTCTATTTGTTAATTTCATGAGCAATGTCTCGCTCTCGCTTTCTCTCCACATCCCTCTCCCGATAAAATTGCTGTTTTGCTTTTGGACTTTGACCCTGATACTTTTCTTGAAGGAAGGCTTGTTGGAACATAAGACTTATAACCGACTAGCAAAGTTTGTAACTCCT